GGGAGTCAGGTGTAGGGAGTCAGGTGTAGTACTTAACACGAACGCCGCCACGTCAGTGCTCGTCGGGTGTATATTGAGGTAGCGAAGGATGGTTGGGAGGAAAGGAGGGAGGGAGGGAAAGGAGGGAAATGAGGTGCAGGCGACGAAAAGGGGTTGGGAAAGAAGAGAGGGGAAGGGGGAAGGTGGAGAGGTGACGAGAGGAATACGCGATGAACGTTTTCAACAAGAGAACCGCAACGTTGCTGGGGAAGCGAAACAGTGGGGGTTGAGGAGAAGAATGACGATGACAAGGGGGGAGAGAAGACGGCGGAAAGGGGTAGGGAAAGAAGGGGGTTCAACATAGAAATCGGGGGGAGGGACGGGCTGGGAAGGAGATGAGAGGAAGGGAAAGGTTTGGAAATGGTAAGAGCAGTACACAAAGAGGCACATCGAACACATTGGAAGGCCGACGAAGATACGCATCCGGTTAGCACAGAATGCCGAACGGGTTTCCTCCCGACTCGACCTGGCATCTTACGTTATCAGTGCTACTATGCGACCTTTATCCTACTTCTGCGGTTAACCTGGGCGGGGAACCACGGCGCGATAAGACGGATGACTCTGAGAAGGCAGGAAGGTTCTTGACCGAGCAATTGCTGGAAAGAAAGATTCGGAGCTTATAATGAGCAGATCCAACAATGAGCAGAGCACGACGGCCATCGATTTCATGGAATAAGCGGGGGTACGGGCCGGGGGAGAGAAGGGGGGATGGAAATCAAAGACGCTATAACACTGTTTCTGTGAAGCTACTCAAGCAAGAAAATAGTGGAGCTGGCTTTGACGAGAAATTGCGGTGGATGGAGAGTGTCATACGCGAATGTTGCGGAGCAGAAGCAGCACTCGAGGAAGCGCAGAGCGAGGGGCAAAAACTTCGCCGAGCCGCCCGCCATGGCTGCGATGCTTGACCGAGTGACAACCGCGACGAGTAGGAGTAGGAACGACCAGGATGAGAAAGTGGGACCACAGACACTGCTTGCGTGAAGTTTAGTTTCGACAACGAGAGATTCAACAAGTAGTGGAAGGTGAAACGTATTTGCAATTGTAGCCCAGTGCTCTGTGGGGGATGGAATGTTGTGTGGTGACTACAAACTCTAGGCAGGGTGTGCTGGGTAGCTTGGGGGAGGAGAGGTGGAGGGCGGAGGGGGGAGGGGGTGGGGGGAAATTGGGGAAGGGGGGGGGGGGGAGTGATGGAATCGGGGAGGGGGGTGGGTGGGGAGAGGGATGGGCGGATGGTACTGTATGAGAGGGAGGGAGATAAGGAAACAGATGGAATGTGTTTTCTTGGCAGGTCAGCCCAAAGATGGAAAGAACGCACGTTGGAGTCCCGCGGCTTGGTTTGCGCAGGTCACTAGCGCGGCTGGATGATGAAAATGGCGGGAACCACTGTCTCTGTGTATGACATGAGATTATGGCGCGTCTTGAAGGCGGTTCGACAAGTCGCCCAGTTTCATCGAATGGTCAAACGTGGACATCATGAGGATCGGACGGGTGAGGACTAACGAAAAATGGGGCACCAAATTGTGGGGCAATTGTGATGTTCTGTTCGGTCGGAGAGCCCCTTGTGGAGAGAAGGGGCACCCGTACCAGGAAAACCCATCATGGCTTGAGATGTAACCTCTGTACATAAGAACTACACAAATTCGAAGGAATTTCGAAGGCTGATTGGTTACAAACTCCATGGTTCAAAGTTCAATTTTGAGCCGAATTCTTCCTGAAACTCACTTTTCCTGTTGCCCGATTTCGAACTGTATCAGCCTTCAGCCAGATTGTCGCAGGAAATTTTTGCGTGTCCGCCCGAGCGCTTTTCCTATGCGCCAATACAACCATGTTCTCGCGCACAGCCCTAGGTGCGGCTCGAGCTGACTCTCCTCTTCCCCCGTCTCCCCAGTCCCACACTCCCTCCCGCCCACATTCCATCTGCGCACGTCACCTCGCACCGTCGCGCGCACTCACTCCCTTCACATTCCACCCTCCCACTTCAATTCCCCTTCTTGAACTTCCATCCGAACTGACTGTAGGGTTGTGATGGTGAGACCAGCTTCCCAAACAAACCTCTTCACCTCACATTGCACTTGGTTTCTGGCATTTGTCGAAACACACGCGCGCAGTAACTGACTGAACAGCCCACTTCCGATTGTCATCCGACTAAAATCATCACGTCGTGGGTAACAACTTCTATCAACACAAGAAACGTTTTATTCGTCGTCCTCCTCGTCGTCGTCGCCGCCTACTCGCAGCGCAGCCATGTCGGGAGACGGAAAGGACCGGAGCTCGTCATCGTACCTCGTCATCCCCATCATCCTGCGATTTTTGGAAATATGCTTCTGCATCGCGTCCTTCGTGTACGTCGCTCGCCTTTCGCACACGTTGGATGTCATTCCCTCCATTCTCCCGCCCCATTCCTATTCGCGCTCTATTCGCCAATGGTCGGCCCGGTAGCCACGTATAAACCGCGGAAAAAAAAAATCTTTCGTTCAGTCGACTCAAAATAGAGTAAGAAACATCTTAGCCAGACACGACCGAGCCGCTTGGTTTCAAGAATTCTCAAATATTTCCTATATTAGCGACGCCCCAGAAGTCTGGACACACATCATGATAGGGTAATGACGTTCACATGTGAAGTGAATGACCCTCGTTTTTTTATCTTCCCGCCATCGCCCCTCTCCACCCCCCCCCCCCCCTTCCCTCCCTTCCCCTTTGCCAGCATATGACGTTCATATGGATATAACCCCACCCCGAGTCCGTCACATTCTCGCACCATTCCCTGCTCTTTTGCCCTCTCTTCCCCCTTCTCTCCCCCTTCCCACTCCCTTGTGGATCATCCCCAAGGGATTTCACCCACCTCAAGCTAACACTCTTTCACGCCATTCACTCCTCTTTTCCCTTCCCTGTCCCCCCTCTCCCCACTTCCTCCCCCCCTCCTCCCCACCTGCCACCCCAGCGTGATGACCTTCATGAAGATGAACTACAAGGGCTTTAACTCCACGGCATACCTCTTCGCCATGGCCATCACGGGCCTCATCCTCTCCGTCATCGGCGCGGCCGTCACTTTCCTCGGCCGCAATCCGGCCATGGCCGTCAACGCCATCCGCATCCAGCTCTACATCAGCTTCGTGAGTCAACACGAGCCACGTCCAGTCAAGTCAAGTCTAGTCTAGTCGTTCCTCCGCCGCAACCCGGCCATGGCCGTCAACGCCATCCGCATCCAGCTCTACATCAGCTTCGTGAGTCGACGCGAGTCAACGCGAGTCATGCCACATTGAGGCGCGCTAGCAAAACGATATCAAGGAAAAGCCTCAAGCTTCGCAGCGGCTTCTTGAGCCTTCCTCTAGCTCGAGCCCAACTCTCCTTCTCAAGTCCCAACACTCTCAAGGCTGGATGCTCCATCTCATCTCGCCATTCCCGTCCCTTTCCATTCCGTTTCTCGTCTCTCGGATCTCAGCCCTTACAGGATCCACCTCCCCATCTATGGGCTTGTGCATTTTGAGGCGCCTCGAAAGTTGCCGTTTCTCGTCTCTCGGGTCTCAGCCCCTACAAGATCCACCTCCCCATCTACGGCTTGTGCATTGAGACCTCGTCACACCCCTGAGCCCGTTTCCCTCCGCATCTGCGCGCGCGCCCCCTCCGCTCCGCCCTTTCCCCCCCTGGTCTATGCTTGCCGGCAGATGATGCTGATGCTGCTCTTCGGCGCGGCTGCTACTGCCAGCAGCTTCCGAGTCAACGCCTGCTACAACGGCCTGGCCCTGCTCAACCTGCTGTGCGTCTCTCGCTCCTTCCACCCTTCTACTGCTAAGAGTCGGGCTCTGAGTTTTTTGCTTCCCTCGCTTTGTCACCCCTTCGCTTACTCCTTTTAGCGCCATGACAGTTACCCTTCCCCCCACCCGTCGCCCACCTCGTCATTTATGGCCCCAGAAATGATGTTGATGTCGATGTTTCCTTGCACGTCTCCTCTTCTCTCTTCCTTTCCGTTGCCCAATGTGGTTGTCCACTTTTCCGTTGATGCCTAAAACCCTTTCTCCCCATTCCCATTTCCCCAAGCTTTTCCCCCATTCCTTCTCCCCCCATCCCCCAACCCACCCCTCTCTCCGCCACGAGTGTCTGATAACAGCAGCAATTTCCTCGCATTTTCCCTTCCTGCAACTTACTCCACCCTCTATCCCCTGAAATTTTACCCCACCCTTTTCTTACACCAGCGGCGATGACTGCACGCTGCTGGCATGGTCCGTGGCCATGGGGTACATTGCCTCCTTCACCTATATCGGCTCCTTCTGGTACGTCTCTTTGTCATCTTGTTGCCTCGTCCTCTTGTTGACTTCTGAGTTGACTCAAAAGTCTTCTGGCATGGTCGGTGGCCATGGGGTACATGGCCTCCTTCACCTACATTGCTTCCTTCTGGTACGTCTCTCTTGTCTACTGAGTCAACTCAAAACGAGGTCAAGCTGCTGGCATGGTCGGTGCCTGTGGGGTACATGGCCTCCTTCACCTACATTGCCTCTTTCTGGTACGTCCCCCTTGTCCTCTTTTCTAGACATCTCAGTAATCGATGCGCATGGTCGGTGGCCATGGGGTATATTGCCTCCTCCTGGTATGTCACTCTTGTCCTCTTGTTTAGCCTCTCTTGTTGGCTCATCCTCATGTATTGTTGGCTCGGTATTGTGATTGGCTGTCTCTGGGTCAAAGGCGTGTGCTTGACCTATGTTTCCTCCTGATACACCTTCTCGTCCTATTTTTCCCTCATCCTCACCTATTGCTGGGTCGTGTGTGTGATATGCTGTCTTCGGGTCTAAGGTGTGCGCTACATGAGTAAGAAACCTCCCTCCCTGCCCGTCCATCCTTTCTTCAACCTTTCTCCCCGTCCTTTCTACAACCTCCCTGCCTGCCCTTCCCTTCCACCAACAGGCATTTCTTCTTTCTTCTTGCCAATGACCACTAGATAAATCTGCAGTGTGCTAGATGAAATGGCAAAACACTAGCGCCTTGGCGAGCAACAACACCAACTTTAGTACTGGACGCTTCATCTAGATTCTTTGACTTGACTCTGATCGTTGTTTGGTGTTTTTGCATCGTGATGCAGTAACTTGTGAGGAAGTATTATCACAAGCACTTGTAGAGAAAGCAAAAGGCTATAAAGGGTTGTACCTAAACAAGACATATGGTATGTTGCAAGGAGGAATGCCAAAAATAATAATTCAAAACCGAGTACAGTTGGCCACAATTGACGGTGAGGATTATGACGCCACAAGTAGGATCTCCCGCTCAGAATGCCAAACGTCGGTCATAGCACGTCAGCAAGTTCCACCGAAATTCTGCAGTAATGACGTATGTGACAGCAGTGCGGGTCGCACAAATGACGCAAGTTCACCAAAAGTCAGTGTTGACGATGGATCACATCCCACGTCATAATGGCCCAGAATTTCCCGATTTACAGTATCTGCGATACGTGCAAGCGGATGTGGCTTACTGTAATTGGTTCAAAGGCTTCGGTCGCGGCTGGTTTCGGTTTTCTCGAGCTGAGCTGTGCAGCATGGTGCTTCGTCGTGACCGCAAGTTCTGGTGAAAAACCTCGTGGTTGCCATGCCGACATTCTTGCATTGCAATTCCCAACCTCCTCAATTCAATGTGCATTTCAACCTCCAATTTCACACGCAACCAGCTCCCTCGCGCCGACATTTCTGCCGCACCTTCTTCACCACCAGTCCTGTGCGCTCCTCACTTCTGATGCCATTTTGACAGCCAAGCGTCTTGCTCGCACAAGATTTGATAGAAAGCCCAGCCGTTTCGTCATTCTTGGACATTCTCTTCAAGAACCGAACAAGCGAATTAATCCTGTAATCGACATTCCACAGTTATACTCCACAGCTTCCGAACCCGCTTATTCACCGACAGGTAGTGTCTTCGGAACCAGCCGGTTCTGTTAGCAGTAACAACACAAGCCGTTCTATTTCTGTAGGCTGCTAGCTTACCCGTTTCGACACCCACGCGGCTTCTCTTTTTCCATTTACAACCATGTCGGCCGCAGCGCTTATTCTCCGGGGTTGTCAGTTCGTCTTCACCCTCATTTCTTTCAGGTGTGACCGTCTCGGCGTTTCTTACTATGTCTATGCCAGCTGAAAAAAGGTATATTCCACAGATCGCAAAAGAAATTTCGAGTCCGGCCGACGGAGAATATATGTTTTACAAGGCGACGCTACTGTAGGCTGCTGTCTTAATCGTTTTCCCACACGCTTCGCTTAAAAAACAGTTTCGGTCAGTCAGCCGGAAAGAGCGGGTCGTTGGCATGCCGGGGATCTGACTGACGGAAGCAACGACCCGCTCTTTCCGGCTGTGCCAATTATTATTTCTAGTGCACTGGCCTTTGCGAATCTGGCTACATTTTTTCCAAACAGTTGCATCACCTTGACTTGAAAAGTTTCCCTCTTTATCCATATGCCGCGCGCCGCGCCGCGGGCCCCATCCTCTCCCCTTCCCCCGTCCTTGCGGCGACCGTTCCCCTCCCTTCCCCCCTCGGAATTACAGTGGCGGCGGAGCAATCTGACGGCATGTTCCTGGCTGGCCACTCTCCCCTCCCCTCCCCTCCCCTCCCCTTCCCTTCTCCCCACAGTATCCTAGCGGCGGTGGGCGGCAATTTGACGGCGTTCAGCACGGGCAGGTTCCTGCTGGCGGCGGGCATCATCGCGTTCATCTTCTCCTGTTCAGCCGCCTCAAAAGTCATCCTCCCCCCCTCTCCATCCCCCCTCCACACACACAGCATCCTGGTAGCGGCGGACGGCAATTTGACGGCGTTCAGCACGGGCAGGTTCCTGCTGGCGGCGGGCATCAACGGGTTTATCTTCTGCCTTCTGAGGCGCGTGGCAACAATCACCCTTCCCATCATCCGCCACGCAGCATCCTAGTAGCAGCGGCGGACGGCAACCTGACGGCGTTCAGCAGTACGGGCCAGTTCCTGCTGGCGGCTCACCCTCCCTTCCTGGCGCTCCTCCTCTTCCTCCCCCAACCCCATCTCCTTCCCACACAGCATCCTGGCAGCGGCGGACGGCAACCTGACGGCGATCAGCACGGGCCAGTTCCTGGCTCACCCTCCCTTCCCGCCGCTCCCCTCCCCTTCACTTCTGCTCCCCTCCCATACTTCCCCCCCCCCACAGCATCCTGGCAGCAGCGGACGGCAATCTGACGGCGATCAGCACGGGCCAGTTCTTGCTGGCGGCTCACCTTCCTCTCTCTTGTCGCCGCTCCCCTTCCCACCGTTCCCCTTTCCTTCCCCCGCTTTCAGCATCCTGGCAGCGGCGGACGGCAATCTGACGGCGTTCAGCACGGGCCAGTTCCTGCTGGCGGCGGGCATCATCGGGTTCATCTTCTCGTTCATCGCCCTCGTCGCAGGCATCGCAGCCGTCGCCAGCAGCTCGCTGAGGGACAAGCAGTCGCGCATGTACCTCTACTTCGCCGCTGAGAGCTTCGTGAGTGCCTCTAGGCAAAAATATTCTTGTGGCTTCTCAAAACCGGCTTGCTGCGGGACAAGCAGTCGCGCATATACCTCTACTTCGCCGTTGAGATCTTCGTGAGTACCTTCAGACGAAGCTTCTTGACTGCCTTGAGACAAGAGTTCACGCCTGCTTGCGTCTACTAATTACGTCTCCGTTCGTCTATTCGTGTCTTAATTTCATCGAAAAGTCATGCATACAAACCTCTGCACGCTCACACACCCTGCCCTCCCCATCCCCACGTCGCCAGCTCAACGTGTGTCTGCTCTTCGGGGCTGCCTGCACGGGCGCCAATGTGTTCGGCGAGTCGTGCGGCTTCTTGAGCAAGTGAGTGTGATGTGAAGTGAGCGCGGCTCTTCATGTGCTCTCTGCCCTCCCTGCCCTCTGCCCTCTCTGCCCTCTCTGCCCTCTCTGCCCTCTCTGCCCTCTCTGCCTCTCTGCCCTCTGCCCTCTCTGCCCTCTCTGCCCTCTCTGCCCTCTCTGCCCTCTCTGCCCTCTCTGCCCTCTCTGCCCTCTCTGCCCTCTCTGCCCTCTCTGCCCTCTCTGCCCTCTCTGCCCTCTCTGCCCTCTCTGCCCTCTCTGCCCTCTCTGCCCTCTCTGCCCTCTCTGCCCTCTCTGCCCTCTCTGCCCTCTCTGCCCTCTCTGCCCTCTCTGCCCTCTCTGCCCTCTCTGCCCTCTCTGCCCTCTCTGCCCTCTCTGCCCTCTCTGCCCTCTCTGCCCTCTCTGCCCTCTCTGCCCTCTCTGCCCTCTCTGCCCTCTCTGCCCTCTCTGCCCTCTCTGCCCTCTCTGCCCTCTCTGCCCTCTCTGCCCTCTCTGCCCTCTCTGCCCTCTCTGCCCTCTCTGCCCTCTCTGCCCTCTCTGCCCTCTCTGCCCTCTCTGCCCTCTCTGCCCTCTCTGCCCTCTCTGCTCACCTTTCTCCGATCTTCGGGGCTGCCTTCACGGGCGCCAACGAGTCGCGCGGCTTCCTGCGCAAGTGAGTGCCATGCTCTCTGCCTTTTCCGCCCTCTCTGCCCTTTCCGCCCTCCCCTTCCCGCCCCCTCTGCTCTTTCTGCCCTCTCTGCCCTTTCCGTCCTCTCTGCCCTTACCGACCTCTTTGCCCTCTCACCAGCTCTTCCATCTCCTCTCCCCACTCTAACCTACTACTCCTCCCTTTCCTCGTGCCTGCTGTCAAATGCAGCACCTACAACTCCTGCTAGCGACAAACACATGCACCTATGCCCCCTCTCCCCTTTCACTTCCTCCCCTCTCCCCTCTCACTTTCTCCTCTCTCCCCTCTCACTTTCTCCTCTCCTCCCTCTTACTTTCTCCCCTCTCCTCTCACTTTCTCTACCTTCCTATGCCCCCTCTCCGATCCCACCTCCACTTTCTCCCCTCTCCTCTCTTCCCTCTCACCTCCACTTTCTCCCCTCTCCTCTCTTCCCTCTCACCTCCGCTTTCTCCCCTCTCCTCTCTTCCCTCTCACCTCCACTTCTCACCTCTCCTCTCTTCCCTCTCACCGACTTTTCCCTCCCTGTTCCTGTTCCTTTTCCTATCCCGCGCCCCAATCGCAGCACCTATGACGCATTCTTGCCTAAGACCAACACGTGCACCCACCCCTCTCCTCTCTCACCTCACTTGTTTCTAAAAAACCCTTCAGTTTTCACCCCCAGTAGTCACAGCACCTATGACGCATTTCTGCCGAATACCAACACATGCACCCACCCCTCTCCTCTCTCACTTCTGACTTGTTTCTAAAATCCCTTCTCTTTTAAACCCCCAACTACAGCGCCTATGACGCGTTCGAGTCAAGGACCAACACATGCACCTACGCCAAGACGTCAGTCGGCTTTGCATTCCTCGCCTCGTTCGCTTTCATGGCCACACACTGGTGAGTAGGGGTGCATCTTACGGCAATTACCGGTACGCCTCACCTGTCTATTCTTGACACGTCGTCTCGGCATTCCTCGCCTGATTTTATTTCGTGGGCACACACTCGTGAGTATGGGTGCACCTTACAGAAATTACGGTATATAGCATGCTGTCTGTGGTGATGTATCAAGCACTTTCTAGAGAGAGTAGAGAGCAATTCATAGTGAGTTCAGGATGGGGAACGTTATGCTAACTCGATCCATAAGTGGAAACGGAGTGCATGCACCCTTGTTTCCCTCCTTTTCTCTTTCCTGATCCTTTTCACTGACCATCCGGCCCTCGGGCCCGCTGAGGTGAATTTTGAGTCGACTTAAAAGTCATTTATTGCATCCCTCCTTTTCCCTTTCCTGATCCTTTTCACTAACCTCCACCTCTCGGGCCCGCTGCCTCATTCGTGCTTGCCTGCTTGCAGGTACTATGTCTTTGCAATGAATCGTGGCTAATAAAGATGTTCTGCCATGGTTTCGAAGAAGCAGGTTCTACTTTTGAGGCGCCTCAAAAGGTGCTGTGTCTTTGCAATGAATCGGGGCTAATACGGTAAGGAACTTCTGCCACACTTGGGAAGAGACAGGTTTGCTCCAGTTTCCGTTATTTATGGCTTCTCGTTGACTTGGAGTTTGTGAAAGATTGTGGTGTGGGGTGATGAGGCCTAGCACCAGTACATGTTAGAGTGGATATTTAACACTGTCACTCTATGTGGTTTGTACATACCGGTACCTGGTTGACCCAAGCTGCGGCAGCATCTAGCATTGCTCGCCATCACAGTGGCAACAGCTGCTTTATATACGATAACTTTCTCCGGGTTTCAACGTATTCTACAGTATACCTACATGGTGTTATCTGTGTACTGCAGATCTGTATTCAGGCCTAATTTACCAGGGTTACTGTCGGGGGAAACACTGAATCATCAGCGCTGGTATAATTTGCTGAACATACAACCGATGAAGCAGCTTAGGAAAATCAAAATCTCGGAAAAACATCACCCTTCAATGCTATAATAGCTTCTATCAAGAAGTATGAGGGCATGCTCAGGTTGATTATGTGCGTGACAGCCTTCACGATTAGTCATGGCGCAAGGCACTTCTAGAAGAGTTCACGCGGCACGGCCCTTAATGAGATCCTTCCCTTCCCTTGTAGGCTCCTTTCTACAGAGCAATCATCCCAGTTTCACAATCATTGCACATCAATGACTGCATGATATGGTTTGACTATACTCGCGGAAGAGAGAGAGATAGAAGCCGGAGAGAAACTACTGATGTAATGTAAGTCTTATGCGAGAGGCCTTCTTGAACATACCGACCAGGCAGCTATTGACTGCCCGATAAATAGTACACCCGTTTTTCTGCCTAAAGGCTTATCGCCTGTAATATGACATGAGTGCATAGTACCTGCGGAAGCGAAACGTGTGGCATGGGTACAGATGGGTGACAGAATATTAAGGCAAAGGCACCACGAGTGACATCGTGAAGGCAGTCAATGGGAGCATGAGGTTTGGAACAAAGGAGAGATTGAGTAAACGGAGCCAAGTGATAGAGCAAGACGTCAGGAGAGAGGGAAGGGGGGGGGGGGGGGGAGGGAGAGAGAGAGAGAGAGAGAGAGAGAGAGAGGGAGAGAGAGAGAGAGAGAGAGAGAGAGAGAGAGAGAGGGGGGGGGGGGGGTGGGGGGGGGGGTGGGGGGGGGGGAGGAGGGGAGGAGAGGGAGGAAGTGGGGTATGTGAGAGAAACAGTCTCATACCAGAATCCGCAAGCGTAGGTAAAGGAGGCAAAGAAGGTCACGGCAATCGATCCATTGACCAGCCTGCTGTCGTGGGAACCGGAACTGCCGTAGGTCAACGGATGGGGGGGAGGAGGGAGGTGGTATAGTAGGTGTATATAATACCGTATGCGTTAAATTCGGTTTGGTTGCTGGTTGTTTATCAAGTTTGTTCGACACACATGGAAGTGTTCTCCACTAAAGACTTGCTTGCCGGTAACGTAGACAGATGTGATGAATGGAGCGAACTGTAGCACGAGATTCGCTGGCGAAAGAAAGAGAAGAAAAATAATTACTAGACTTTGTTCGTGACAGCAGAGCACGCACCAGTAGTAGGAGTAGTAGTAGTAGTATCTGCATGTCGAGGCCGGCACGCCTGCCGTGCACGCCGCTGCAAAGAGGAGCAGCGAAAGCAGCTGCGAGGGAGCAACGAACGAGGACGGGAAGGGGGGCCGACGGATTGGTGGGAGGGAGGGAGGGAGGGAGGGAGGGAGGGAGGGAGGGAGGGAGGGAGGGAGGGAGGGAGGGAGGGAGGGAGGGAGGGAGGGAGGGAGGGAGGGAGGGAGGGAGGGAGGGAGGGAGGGAGGGAGGGGGGGAGGGATGGAGGGAGGGAGGGAGGGAGGGAGGGAGGGAGGGAGAGAGGGAGGGAGGAAGGGAATAAGGGCGCGTGTCTTTTGGTGTAGAGGTTGAAAAATTAGGTCGAACTTTTGCTGGTAACTCTCTTCGTTGATTTCGTTCAGGGCTCTTCGCGAGATCGTGTGTCCTACTTCTGGCAATGGTGATGAAGTGGGACACTAAACCTGGGTCGAACTCACGTACGATTTTGTTGGGTGCACGTTAGGTCAAGCGTGTGTCCTGATGGGTAAGCATCCTGAAAATCCGAAGCATGCGACAGTCGCAAATCACATCGCGCGCACAACCAACGCCAAATGGATGATGCCCGGTGTCGCCAACGTCAAGGAGTGAGTACCGGGTAACCTACGGAAGTCGAACCTCGATACTCGGACTTTGGTGTTCTTTGTGCTTTTTGCAAGTTGGCAATTCGAGATTCAGGCTCAAGTTGAGATATTCGAGTACAGGTCGACTAAAGAACTTGAACTTTAGCCTAAAATTCAAGAGACACGCGCCCTAAGTGACGGACGGCGGAGGGAGGAAGAGTGAGCGAAATGGAACCTTGGGCAGTCCAAAAAAACAAACAGACACTCTCACTGTGCTTGAATCGGTCGAATACTCAATATGAGCTGCTTCTGGGAGTCAGTCTACAAACCGTACGATTGACTCACCCCAGCACTCGACGACAAAGAAGAGGCGCAGCTTTCCCTGGAAGCGGTGGAGCGCGCTGAGTGAATCTGAGTGGCGAGGAGGGCTGTGCATTAGCTTTCACCAAGCGCGCGGGTCACTCCCAGCCCTCGACAACTTGTAAGAAGCGCAGCTTGCCAAGGCAGCGGCGGAGCGTGCTGACGTCTTTCGATTTGCATGCGAGCGCGCTAGCAAAAACTCCACTAGCCATGCGACGGGACTTACCAGCCCTCCATGACTGGAAGAGGGGCAGCTTTCCCTGGAAGCGGTGGAGCACGGAGACGAAAATTTGAGTCGCAAATGAGAATCTGACAAAGTGGGCACGATTGACTCACCCAGCCCTCGATGACTTGAAAGAGGCGCAGCTTGCCCTCAAAGCGGCGGAGCGCGGAGACGAAGAGCGACGCGACGAGGAGGGCGAGGAGGAGGAAGGAAAGGATGAATCCGATGACGTTCACGGCGAACAGAAACGCGCCCTCAGGGTCTTCATGAGTGGTGTAATTTTTGCGGGTCGAGGCGAGCAGGCTGAGAGCAACAGGGGGGGAAAGCCACATGGGGCGGGGGGCGGGAGGTCCGAGTGAGAGAGGAAGAAGGAGAGGCTGAACCCGATGACGGTCGTGGCAAGCAGAAACGCGCCCGCGTCGTGCTCGGTGTAATCGCGGGTGGTGGAGGCGAGCAGGCTGGGAGCAAAGGAGAAAAGGACGTGGGAGAAGAGGGGAGAGGGGCCGAGGTTGAAGTGGAGGGGTCGCTACTAGCGGCAGGGTACTATCAATACAGGGACTGATTTTTGGTGTGGTTGGTCTTCGTGTTTTGAGTCGACTCAAGCACGGCTCATTTCACGAGGAGGTGGAGGGGGTGGCTATGATCGTAAGGAGATACCCGCACTGATCTTCGGTGTGGTTGGTCTTATTTGATAGTCTTTTTGTGAGAATCGAAAGGCGGCGCAGCTGAATGGGAACCTTGTTGTGATGCGCCTCAAAACTAGACTCTCTTTTTGTGTTTTTTTTTGTGTGTGTGAAAATCGTACGGCGGCGTTGCTTAATGGGAACAAGTCGTCGCAAATGGTGGCGTCTCATCGCAAGAGACTCACGAGAAGGAGGTAACGCAGGAGGCAAGCTCGACGATGCGCAGCCCGATACCGGTCAACGTCGACATCCTCGACGACCCACCCGAGCCGCCGCCAGTCGCGGCGAGCGGCTTGCCCGCGCCGCCTCCCGCCTCAACGTCCGCGTAGCCTGCAGGCGGAGGGGGGTTTTCTCCTGTCTGTTGATAACTTGGCGGCGACGCGTAGTTTGTCGGCGGCGGATTCCCCACGGCGAACGGCGGGATGCTCTCAGGAGGAGGGTAGGCGGCCATTGTGTTGCGGCTAGCGGTGGGAGTGACTCTTTCCTGAAAGGGAGGCTGAAATTGAGTTTGTGTGGCGTCGAAGTGAGATAGACTCGAGAGGCGCTGAGTCCTTGAGTAAATGACCTCTACAAGTATAATATTTCACTCTCTTGGCTGAGTATCTCCGCTGTGGTCGGGCTGAGAGCAAAGGACCTTTTTATGCTTGCTGGGGGAAGGGGGCCTTGGTTGGATTAAGGTGGTGGTGTGGTGTTGGGTGTGATAATTTATTACGGTGTGGTGTGGTGTGATGATCTGGATTTGGCTGTTGCAGCGGCGGTGAGCTTCGAAAGTGCCAAGCAGGGTGACAATGCCCAGAAAAGAGGCGGGAGGCTGAGGGTGGGAGTGGCCTGGCGAGGTAAAAGTGCTGTGCTGTGCTGTGCTGTGCTGTGCTGAGCTGTGCTGAACGAAAATTGCAGCAAAGGTTTGCCAGGAGAGGCCTGCGAAGGTGGCGAATTGCGACGTGTTGAGGAAATTCAGCATTTTCCATCCAGTCAACAGGGTAAGGAGTTGCAAGTGTGCTTCACTGTACCGGAACTGTTGTAGTTATCCATTTTGACTTATAATACGCATTTGGATATTATTTATCTGTAATTTGCAAGCACACATAGGAAAAAACGTGATGAACAGGCTAAGAGTTACGAGTGCAATTGAGTGAACGAACTAGAATTTCACTATCGAAGCAAGAGTCCAATGAGCGAAGAATATATAGCGAAACTACAGTGGTAGCCGTAATGGACTGTGATTGTCGCGCGACGGGCCTGAGACCGAGGTTGGGAAAAAGTGTCGAAGTGGAGGTCCGGAGCGCGGGTTACCCGCCGAGCCGTGAGGTCGGGGTGCGATGTGCGAAGGTGGCGGGCGGATTGTCGATGCGAGGGCTGCGAGTGGTAACGGTGCTGACTGTGGTGCTATAGTGATGTACGCATTGAGCAGGGATGCGAAGTAAGGAAAAGGAATTTTCCTTACACTACCCGCCCCCCCCCCCCTAAGGAGGTCCTCCTTACGAAAG